TGTGTGTGTGTGTGTGTGTGTGTGTGTGTGTGTGTGTGTGTGTGTGCATGAGAGTATAAAGGGCTCTCTGACAACTCCAGTGGAGAAGGTAATGAGTGTGTGATAATACACTCAAACAAGAACTTAATGAAGAACAGGTAAGAGGGGTTGCAAAAGAAGCATTACACATATGGACGAGGAAAAACTTCTATCCACCAGACTGTGACCCCACAAAACAGACACTTTAATCCACAGTGTTTTTAGATCAATAACTTAAGAACAGCCTAAAAGGCTGCTAGAAATGTCAGTAAAAAGGAGAGGGGAGTCACAGAAATGCCTGTCTATGCCTTTCTTATTTTAAAAACTTTAGGAAGTCTTAGTGCTCCAAGAAACAGTTGGACATCACAGAAATTCTGGATTTTTCTGATTTAATCTGTGTTAGCATGAAAGTCTTTGATCTGTGTCCAAAGGAGAAACACAAAACCAAATTTTGACTTTTTTGAAAGCATTTATCAGGCAGAACTCTTTGTAAAACATAACACCGAGTTTGCTGTAGGAGAAGTAAACAGCAGCAGATGCCTGTGTAGGCGATAGTTTCGGATGCAAGTGGTTAAACAGTGCATATGTCGTGTTTGGGCCGTAAATATCCCTTCATCAACAAAATACCACCTGGAGGTATATACAGCTATAAGATGTACAAGTTTTAGTAAACTACAGATGTACAGTAGGGGTGTAACAATACACGTGGGTGTATTGAACTGTTTCGGTATAGCAGGTTTGGTTCTGTCCACATGCATACCGTTTCAGTTATTTTTTCATTAATTAAATTTTATTAACAATAGATTATGTGCCGTGGAACTAAAGTTCCTAAGCGTGTTTCAGCACGGTGCTATTATCTTGCAGCACACGCAGCATTAGCATTCTAGCATGTCGTTGCGGTCTCCTGTTTGGGAACATTATGGCTTTCTTGTTAAAAGACAAGTGGACAAATCCAAAGCTGTGTGTCGACATTGTTTCACGGAGATTAGATCTGCAGCAGCAACACGTTTAATTTGTTAACAACTTGAAACGACATCATCCGAATGTGAACGTCTCTTCTACAAGCAAGAAAAGCAGCTTGTTGTAAACACTAATAACAACAGCATTTAAACAACCTTTATCAGGTAATTCAGATCGGTCCAAAGCAATAACAAAAGCTGTAGGAGTTTTTAAAGCTCTGGATCTACGTTTCTATTGTTGATGCGCCAGCTTTAAAGTTCTTGAGCCCCGCTACGACATCCATCACATCAACACTTCAGCCAAACCGTTATATCAGCTGTAGGGTAACATATATCTGATATATATTATCCATAAATTACTTTATGAAAAAGCTAAAACTGATATTGTCAACAAGCCCTGGACCAGATTAAAGTCCTGTCCTGATGATGATACACGAGAGATTCAACCACCTCATAAAAGAAATGATGGCCGTTCAAGAAGAGGTATTGTTATTTTATTATTATCATCTAATTAACGTTTTTTTTTTAATTATAATTTTATTAACTCATTTTTTTGACCTCTTTGTGTTTTATTTCCAGTCTGGGACAGAGATAGCAGCTGAGTCTTCTTCCTCTTCAGAGAAATCCACCAGAGATCACCTCCAGCTAAGAAGTCTGTGATGAGTGAACTCTGAATTTTTCCAGGGACAGGTGGAAGCAGGTCCAAGAGGTTGTGAGTAATGAGACCAAATACAGCCACACTGCAAAATTAGCAAAGCTCTTCCTCTTTATTCTTGCTACTGTTGTTAGTGAGCTGTTTTCTCCACCGCTGGAGATGATGTCACTGCAACTAGATCTATGATTTTGGCAGAAAATGTGGACAAGTTGGTGTTTTTGGCCAAAAACTTGATTAGTTAGATTGTAAACGGTCTGTTGCTGCTTATTGTTCTGGTTCTGACTGTTATTGGATTCATTACGATTTTTTTTATCGTTAGTATAGTTTATTTATTGTAAAGAGTGCCTTTTATTTAAAATATCATCCAAATGGGTCGCTTTTATTTATTTTTATACAAACATATTGTTTACTTGGCATATTTTCAAAATAAACATTTTGTAAGTCTTCATTTTGGCCTTTTTTGTACCGAAAATGAAACGAATCGAGCCCTCCTTGAAACTGAACCGAACTGAAATGTGATTTTAGCGTATCGTTACACCCCTAATGTACAGGTAATAAATATTGCATACATCTGTTGAGCACTGTGTATTTCTACTCACTTGAGGCCTGAAGAGGGTTAGTGAAGAATGACTTAAGGCGACCAGCAAGCCATTCCATGCTTTCCTGGAGGTTGGCCAGAGCTTTCAGGTCACTGACATCGCGTAGGATCTCGTTCTGGGGGATTAATTTGTCTCCCAGGTTTCCAGTCAGCACCTCGGACTCCTTAGCAAAAGCGGCCCTGAAAGGTGGAGAGGATGAGTCACTGAAGAACTTGTGTGGTTAGACTGAACATCTTAGTAAAGAAATAATGCCTTAAAACATCTACATTTAGTTATGAAAAATATATTTAGCCCAATAAAAGCATACATGTGAATAAATGGCTCCTTTATTTTTCTTCTTTTTACAGAAGTTTACCAGAAATGTTGCTTTTCTAGTTACATAAAAAAAAAAAAAAGTTTTATTTTCAGAAACAGCGAGAGACTAACAGGAAAGTTTTATAAGAAGTTAAAATGTGATGAACTGTTGAATGAAATACATGTATATTACTCACTCAAATCTTATAATAATCTCATGTTTATAAGCTCAGGGATGTGGGGTTGAAATATCACTGTGACCTTTAAAGTGATGCACAGGGGTGGAATGTAGTAAGACTACAGGCTTGATAACTTGATGAACACCTTGATAGATTGAGTCAAGGAGACAGGGGGAAAAAACAATGATAGAAATAAAGACATTTTTTGTCTAAACTGTCATCTTGAGATGAAAGTTATTACTAGTTCAAATGATAACAATAAAGATGCATTTTATGTATGAGGACTTGTGGTTATGGAAGGAAATTTGAAAACAGGAAAAACAGATGGAGCTGGAGAAGAAAGTTGGATAACTACAAGTTATAACACAATGGTACCACAAACTTGAGGCATATGGAGCGGCCTCTAGAGTCGTCAGGATGCTCACAAAAATGGAGATCCTTTGAACAACAGATGGTTAAAAAGAAAAAACAAGAAAAACGCTTCACATAGGCATGTGCAGCTTATTAACAGGGCTTTATTAAAGCACTGGGTGGAGAGTTATGCAGAAGTTAATCCCTCGTTTCACAGTGGTGAAAACATCTATGGCTCTCAAATCAAACAGCCTTATGGACTTTATTTTTGCTATCTCTTTACCCTCTGTGTGTGTGTCTGTGTGGCACGAGAGGAGAAAGAGTGTGTACAACAGATTGACTTTCTTTGGCCACATAACCAATTTATTTATTTACTTTACCATTCTGCTTCAATGAGCTTCAGTGCTCCCTGAAGAGGGTGCACATTCAAAGGCAATTTTGATAAGACAGAACACTTTTCTCCTCTGTCTGCTCTCATATTTTTTATTTTATTTTTTTCCTCATTATCTCACTTCCTTCAGATAAAGGATGTTTTTAAAGAGCAATCATTACTTCTTTTATTGGAAACTTTTAGGATAAATGAGTATCTATAGTTGAGGTTTTTTTTTTAAACAAATAAAATCCTGTTAATACGCATATAAATATATATGCAATACGTGCCCCTGACTATGTTCTGCATGTACCTTGTAAAGTCCTCTTCATCTTCCCTCTTCTGCCTTGCCAGCCTGGGTTGGGCCATATTTGCCCAGTTAGGGAGGGACTGGAGCAAACGACTGATGTCCTCATCTTTGGACCAAGAAGCACTAATTGTCAGCTTCTCTTCACACTGGACAACAGCCCTGAGGACATAGACATGAACCCAAACAATTGCAGACTAGTTATAACATGTAACATTCACATTTTGAATATTTTTATATTTTGGAACCAACAGGGTAATATGGCCTGAGAACTACATACTGTAGCAAGTTTGGATGAAAACCAAATGCATTCATACTCAAAGAATGTCTTTGTGTGGACAATATGCAAGCATCAGATCTGTACTGACAACAAACAAAATCACTGCAGCTATAACATGACCTTACAGTGACAGAAAGCCAGAATGTATTTAATTTATTTCTATATGCATGAGAAATCTGTATTATCATGCATATACTTTAAGCTTTGCAGATACATTTACATACAGTACGAGTACAGAAATACGTAAGTCAATCAGTGAGGGTCTTCCTTGTTCAAATCCACATACTGCACTAAAACAACTATACAAGTAGAATTATATATATATATATATATATATATATATATATACCCACACACAAATGCATTTTGGCATACTCTGTTGGTCTTGTCTTTATTGCTCAGAGACCGCTGAGACTGAATGTGACCTATAGCCCAGCCCAGATGGGCTTCCAACAGTTCAGCAGTTCTCTCTCTTTGCGTGTCCTGTCCAGCGCATCACTCCTTTTTTATCTCTCCACATTTTCTAGCGCTCCTTTTACCTGACCAGGTGTTAGATGGTCCCAGGCGAGCACATATGGACAGCATTACACAGCCAAAAACAACAACAACAACAACAACAACAACAAAAACTACAGGATCATTTTAAAATGTATGTAATGATGAAATAAGATGAGATAGTGTTTTTTTTATCCTTTTTACCTATAAGCTGTGTTGCAGATTTCCTTGTATTCTTTGAGCTTGTCACAGACCATCTCAAGAAACTGGTTGGAGTAGGCACTCAGATCCTGCATCAGGCTCATGAGATCCTGAATGGACTTCTCCACAACCACTGTGCTCTATGTTCAAATAAAAGGACAGGATAACATGCTGGGTGAGTTTGTAGACATGAAAAAGTACACTTCAACTTAAAAACAAAAACAGAAAAAACAAAGTAAAACAGAGAAAATGTGAACATGTTTTTGATACTGTCAGGCTGGATTCAGTTTGTCCTAACGACAGAGTGATTGAAGGTCTCCAGCTTCTCAACACGTCACCTGCCGTTGAACTGATGACTAGTGCTGGCGATCTTGTCGTTTAACGCTATTAAACGAATGGATGTAAGTGAATCAGTGTGAGAGCATGTACTTGTGAATTTTGAACTTCTGTACCGAGTGTCTTCTGAAGCTTAAAGTGAGTGTGTATTTGTCATGATGCACCCATCACCAGGAGCCAGTGTAGGGCTGTGACAGCAGCCATTACAGATTAGCCATTCCTGCGTGGCTAATGCTCCTGCTGGCCCAGGAACAACAGAGCAGCTTCATATCCCCAGACACACTTATGCAAACATGGAGAGGGCAAACTTTTCACATCACACACCTCTTGAAAGTTGTTAAATAGGATTACAACTCAGAATTTAAAGGTCTGTCTGTTTCTTACACTTAACCAACCTAGCTTTAAACTTATATAATCATAACTTTCTTTTAGTGTGGCGCTAGCTTTGTGGCAACCACTCTTAAAATGGCACTAATTGTAAGAGCAGAACAGTAATCAAATATATCTATACATGGGAAGAACATGTTAAACACAAGTTATTTTCAGCTCACAACTCAGTTTATGTTAATTTAATCTGCACTTTCAGTGTTTAGAAAAAATAAAAATATTGTTCATCAAAGCTTATTTAAATGAAAATGACTTGCAGTCTAAAGCTGCTAAAAAGATCTATTTCAGCAGTGTCTGTAGAAAATGCAGCTAACTTTAGATTAGATTATCGTATGTGTAGCTGCACTTAGACAGTACTGCTTTATACATTCTGTGTGATGTTACACAAAAGTTCCAACATTTGAGCAGGAATATCTTTTTTTTAACGGTCCCAGTATTTATTCCTATCTGGAATTTTGTGGGGGCGGCAACAACTGTAACTCAAAAACTCAGAATATGAAGGAACATATGATGTGATACAATAAAGTACTATTAATTGGTCTTTTGGTCTCCTTATTTTTTTCTGTCACAAGCAGGCGAATACGGACATACAAACAAACAGCAACTACTCCACCGAGGGATGTAATGATCCATAGCACTGCCCATACCCATGAAGTGCTAACCAAGGCCTTGCCTCTGCCAAGGGAGCAGCCTTTAGTGTCCATGCATGACACCCCGTCAGCTGGCCAGGATGGGAACAATTACACAAACTCTGCGGGAGAGCTAGCTGCTACAGCGCATCAGCTACAAAACTGTGTCTATAAAAAAGTTGATGCTGTGTAGAAAATATCAATAAAAACTCTGCAAGAACCTATAACTAAAAACCGACTTAAGATTTTTTCTTAAAGCGTATTTAGTTTTAAGATCGATATCAGCAGATTTTTTAAAAGGTGGGTAGAGGTCAATGAAAACACTGGAAAAGTTGATTCATGTTGATGGAAAAATAACATTTGGCAGAAAATTTCAAGTATTTGTGTAAAGTGGCAATGACTAGAAACAAAAGGCATAATGAAACTAGCCCTACAGTAGTAAAGATATGAAGGGAATTGTCTTCAGGAAAATACTGGGTGGTAAAATACTTAACTTAACATTTATTTTCAACATATAATCTGACTGAATAACAAAAATGGTTAAATTGTGTCATTTGAACCAGTTTCTTTAAGTGAGAAAAATTTTGTCCCCCATCCAGAGGACTTCCTCAGTCTACAGCCTGCCAACCAGATCTGCCCCATAGGTTGCCTGCACTGCTGTGTTTCAAGTCAGCCTCCTGTTGCAATCTCAAAAGCAGGCTTTTAAAATGTGCAAAACACAACCATCCAAAACAATCAATCATGATGTACAACAATCAAATGTTTTAGGCCAAATGGTCAGCTAGCTACTCACAGAAACAGCTTGAAGATAACCAAAACCATAGTGGCTCAGAAAGAGTAGACAGAGTAGTAGTCCTCTGGATGAGGGATGAAATGTTTCTCACTTAAAGAAACTGGTCCAGATGACACGATTTAACCTTTGTTGTTATTTACATAGATGATTGAGCTTCAAACCTTTTTTTTTAATATGACTGAATATTTAATAGACTCTAGAAAAGTCTGTGTATGAGTGACAAGGCCTAAAACTAAGACTGTATGGCTGTTTGTTTGTGTCCTCCAGTCAAAATTCTTAAATTTCTACATTAAGGAAAAACAGAACACCTCCTAAAACATTTGAAAATAAAACTGAAACTAGTGTGTTGCAAAAAAAACAACAAAAGCCAGAATAAAAAAATGTGCCTGTCCTGAGTGTCTGTCCAGTTTTTATCCGTTTGCAGTTGAAGAGTCGGCATTAATGGTGACATTGGAGTGCAGATGGTGTGTGCCCGTAAATGCACTATCAAGTTTTTGAGCAGCGAATTTTGCCATGAAGTTGCTTTATTTTCCAGGGAACGTCTACTAATTTTATCAAACCAATGCTCAACCAAACGTGGAAAACTTTACAACATTATGGTGGTCAAAGAGTCCAGGTTACAAACTTGATTGTACTGAGCGTCAAGAACCAGTGGTGAAAAAAGCTCCCCTGCTGGTCTTCTCGTGTGACCAGCAGAAAGAAAAAAAACAGCTCAGTGCAAAGACAACATTAATCTGCCATCTCTGAATTATAATCTATACCTGTACAAGAGAGAAAAGGCTGTGTAGTGAGGAGCAGAGCACTGACATTTACAGATTTCTGTGAGGTAATGACTACTAACAAAGCATCGTTTGGATAAAGTTAAGATGTTAATATCCAACATATTTCTTTTTAACTAGGTCACATCCATTTCCTTCTCGTTTTTTGTTCAGTTATTTTTTTGCACATTAATTTGTTTAATAAAAGTCCAAGTGTTAAAACAAACTGAGAAAGTTATGTTTTATTGCAAGAAGTGCTGTGAATTATTTTGCTTCTGCCCCAATAATCATAAAGTAGGACTGGGAGATGTTCAGAGGGTAGGTCAGACAGAATTTACAGAAGTGCATAACTCTCCATTTTATGAGTGGACAACAGAAACAGGGTTCCTTAGGGTGCTGCATTTGATTAAGCAGAGATTATATAGTCCAGTAAAACTTGTAGTAAACTGGATTAATTGTTTTCAAAAGAACAACCTTTCTGAGAAGACAGCAAATCTATAAAACTAACCAAGTATTTCCTGTAAGTGTCAAACATAAGTAATTTATATTATTAAAACATTGTGTGACATTACAAAATTATGATGAATTTGTTAAAAAAAAAAAAAGCAATTAAATGAATCATGTTACTTCCAAGATGTGTTGGCTAATGTCTACATTTTCAAACTCATAATGAAAAATGTCAAATCAATAAAATTGTGTGAAGGGAAATTGACAATTAATAAACTATGATTTTTTTTTTTTTTCATAATATGGTGAGAAAGTTCATGTGCAACACAAGTTCATGAATATCCTCCATTCTTTCTGTCTGTTTTGAGGCTTTAGAATCCACCAGCAGGCCAAGTTGGTGAATGGAGAAGAGTAAACAATGGATACTCGATCCATTACGCCTGCTCTAGCAAATGCTCTTGCACTCAGCTCCCTTGTCTAATTTGCTCATTTAACACAGCCATTCGTCTTAGGCAGCAGCAATCATTAAAAAGTAATCAAGGAACAGATTGAGAAAGGGAGGGCTTCAACAGAAAGAGTAAGAGTGCTGGGGAAAGCGACTTTGCTACATCTCCTCTATCTTACTTGACTTTTACACAGGAGTGCCATCATGAAGCTTTCTCCATCTCTCCTCCTCTCCCCTTCTAATGTTTCAAGCTTAAAAGGTCAAGACGCTGTGGAATAATGTGAAAAAAAAAACCACCCATATGTCTCCTTTAATTATACTTCCTAGTATTTTATTATCCTTTTATTGTGCTTGGTTGCACTTTGCATCTTTGCATCATTACTAAATAAACACATGGTCATCACTGAACATTAGCCTAGGGTTTTGCAAATGGATATCGGAATTTGCGGGGGTAAACTTCTGTTGTGAAATAAAGGCCATGGCAATTGCGGTTTAATGACAACAAGACAACATCAAGAATTGTGCCTCAGTGGAAAAATGTGTTAATGCATGGTCATCACAGCAGGAACCACCCTGAGTTGGTGCTAAAAGTAGTTATTTCCTTTGGTGGAGTGAGTAAAAAGCACAATGCCAAGAAGATCATTACTGAAAGTGAGAGCACAAGGATGAATTCACTGTTGCTGAACTCTGTTGGCCAAATGTGGCATCTTCTAAATGGAATGGTTCAAAGTGTGTTTTATTTATTCACGCTCACTTAGAGTCCCTGAGCCTCAACTGCTTGGAAATTACAGCTTCATGAGTTTTTCTATAATGTGTTTTCTGAGTTATCTGTGAGAAGGGCCAAAAGGTTTGAATCGGAACCGGATCATAGATTTTTCCCATTAGAAAAAGTAGGGGGGCCCCTTAAGGTTTTGCTGAGGTCAGAGTGTTTAACCCTTTTGCTCAGTGCCATTTCACTCACACCTCGACCTCAGACCACTGACACGTGTAATGCCTCAGCCATGCTGTTCACATGGTTGACCATGGGTTGCTAAAATGATACACACTCAGCAGGGTGTACACACAACCGCACACGCCCACACACCATCGGGAGCAAATGCAGAGATAACCTCTGCCTCCCCCACACACACATAGTGTCCCTCTCCAGAGTAAAGAGGAGCTGGGCATGTGTGGGACATTGTCTTGACAGATCATTCATCAACGTCAGTGTGGAGCTATTCTGCAAAGACTCCCCTGACACACTCCGGATGGCCCTCATGCTCATGCTTACTCAACCACAAAATATGCCCCTTTGAACGTATATGTATGTAAGCCAGCTTGTATTTAAATTTATTTTGGTTCTGTA